AGGGCTAAAGGCTGTGCCATTAATCGCAAATTAGTAGATAAAATGCAAACTCCACCCAAGTCTGGGTAGTTTAGCTCATTACAGACATTTATCATTTACATTGGTGATACGCGTCTTATAGAGTTGGGACGATATCATCGTCCATCGTGATGGATGAGCAACATCAACATGGAGAGCAACCATCGTGATGCCACGCCCTCTGTCAGAAACACGCGCTGATCTTCTGTGGGCCTTGTAAAGCTACAAACTTTGCTGGGATTGCACTGTAAATTAAATCTCGAATATAGCTAATAAGCACGCTAGTTTAAGTAGCATACCAGAAGCCCAAAGACATGATGTGTTAGCCGTAATTATTAAAGACGCAGCGCTGCTCTATTTCTGATGCGCGGGGCTCTCTCTCTCCCTAAAAGCAGCGACCGTTTAACACCGTGTGGTTTCGCTTTGCTTTTCATACGTAAACTAAACAGTTTTAAAATGCCGCGATGGATCTCACATCGGAGCCGAGAGGCATGGGTTTGGATGTTTTCACAAAGGATGCCGCGGTAGCCGGAGGTATGAGACTAAGAGCACACGGACCGGGCAGCGCGTGAAGCAGCTTCAATAACGTAAGCTACAACGCAAACTTCTTAATATTGTCCCGTTCACCCACTGTTTCTTAAACATTACATTAAAACTGAGCAAATGCAAATAAGCTCAGAATTACAGCTGCATTAGTGTCATAAGATCCACGTTATTGAGGAGCAGATGACGCTATGAATAAGTCGAGTTTTCACGCATTTCCATTGCAAAATTTGTGTTCCATGGCTCCATTCGGATCATGTTTAGTTTAGATACATTTATCCTGCAATCTCACATTTTTATAACATAAATAAAATGCCTATAATGAGAGTTTGACGATATCATCGTCCATCACGATGGTTCACTGTACACATCGTCAACTGCCAATTAAGGGGACATCGCCCAACCCTAGTGTCTTATGTATTTTTGTTACAGAATAAGGAATTTGAATGCATTCACTTATATTTATGAATTAAACGCGCCTCCCTGAATTGAATGGTAAATGGTCTCAACTTATATTCGCGTTTTTCCACCTTCATTACGCACTCAAAGCGCTTTACAGCAAGGATCCACTCACCCATTCACTCTCTCATTCATACACCAATGTACGCAGACACTGGTGTTGCCCAAGGACACAATAGCGTGAGCCTTCAGGAGGCGGGATTCTAACCCCTGACCTTCCGATCATGAGACGACACGCTCTACCATCTGTGGCACCATTGAACTTACTCCGTTGCCTGTGATGGTCCATCTTTATTTTGTGTCCCTTCTTTTTCCTCTTTCTTTCTTCCTCAGAGGAGGAAGAGGAGTTGGAGGAGGAGCAGGAGGAGGATGATGTGCGGGAGGAGGAGGAGGCAGAACTCTCACCTTCGCTATCCGACGTGGTGAACGTGTCTGCTAATTCAAAAACACAAAACTCAGTTACTTGGCTCCTACTTTTAGTGATGACTAATTATTAATTCTGCCCTCTCTCATTCTCGAAGACGGACACACGGGACATTGTGCCGTCAGTCATAGCAACATGAAGCAACCATTTAATATTGTTTTCTAGTGGACGAGAGGTCCTTGTGCAGAAAACATGGCGAAAGGGTGTTTCGTGGCAGGTTGCGCCAAAAATAAACTTAGTATCTATGCATGTTCCTACAAACACCTAAGATCGCAAATGGCTTCACGCACCTGTAAATATGGTTTTTTCTCACAAAATGTTGTAGCCTGCCTGCTGTGGCAAGGTAATTTCATGGCATTTATATAATTTGAGGTTTGTCCATAATACAAAAAATTGATTGGTTTATTGGCCATTACATGTGTACTAAACCCACAATAAGCATTAAAAAATAAGTAGCCAATTTTACATATTAATTTTAATATAAAATACTTCATGAATGACTTTTAATCATGCTTTGACAACATAACAATGAGGTCAATGGGTTGACAACAGCAAAAAACATCAGGATCGTTCATAATTTGCAATATTTGATGGTGAAATGCTAACGGACAGAGTAAAAATTATAATTCTGATAAATATTGTACATACTTACTTTGCTTCTGTACAAAAGAATATTTTGCCTTCTCCAAAACAGTTGTTAGTTGGTTCCTTAATTGATTTCTCCTTTCTTCCAACTCCACCTTTTTTTCCTGCAAATCTTTAATTTTGAGGCCTGCCGTTGGAGCAAATTCTGCAAATACAAACAAATTATAAAACAGACACACTGAAAGACAAAAGCAATATTGCACACAATATTAGGGCTGAAACAACTAATCGATTAATCGACAACTAATTGATTATTGAAATAGTCGACAACTATTTTAGTAAACGATTAATCGTTTTCTGGTTCACACAGACTTAAATAGAGCAAAAATGACATGGAAATGTAGTATTTTTTATGAAAATATACCTTGTTTTTATAGTTACTGTGTATGTAGTGTTTTGTTGATTTTAAATTTCATGAATATCTGTCTGCGTCTCATCCTATCAGAAAGCAGAATTAGCGCCAACAGCCTACAACAAACATTTACTTAACGTTTACTCCATCAATGCATCCTCAAGCGGCACCACTTTAGCTTTATGTGATTAAAAAAATTGAAAATATAAAATGTTCCTACACCTGACACAGCCAAGCAATTAATCGATTTATCGTAAAAAATAACCGTTAGTTGCAGCACTACACAATATGTTGTGGTAAGGGTAATCTAATATTTTAGCAATACACTAATTGCGCCCTTAGAAAACTGAGGTCATGAAGCACTGGCACAGCCAAAAGTGTGCCAAAGATGATAGAAATGAGAGCTGGTGCCCCGAAAAGTGGCTTACAACATAATAATGTTAAATAATTGGAGTGCATATTGTGAAATTGTGCCCACAACTCATTTTTTCCTAATTCAGAGGCACAAAAAAAAGGGAGTTTACTACTGAAAAAGTGTAGATGGGGGAGGGGATAGAAGCGTTTGTAACGCTTACAGACAAATGTGCACTGCAGTTTAAATAAGCTGCGAAATTAAAATTATTTTATTGGCCTCCGTCTCAACAGCACACTCATATTACCTTTGGCCCAATTAAAGTTTCAATTATCTCAATGACACTGTCACGTAAAGTACTGGTCAAATGTTTGGAAACTTCCTTATCATTTAAAAGGAATTTTTTTCATTTTCAAAGCTACTCACATTGTAGAGTATCCTGGATGTACACTTAAAGGAGCTTTATCATGCAAACTATACTTTTTTGGAGTTTTTAACCATGTAGTTATGCTATTTCTTCTCAAAAACACCCCTAGAGCGGGGATGCTCTCTGGCCAGCTGTCCCACCCTCTGTTGGAAAACGACTGAGTTGTTCAGTTGTGTCGTCACAGCGGAACGGAAGTACTAGATGTCTGTAATGTAATGCTTTACGGCCTGATTTTAATTTATAAAACAGCTTTTTCATTATTTTTTTCGTAAGAGATAAATAAAGGAAAAATGAAAAAACTGAGTGTCTGTGCTGTCCCGGGAGGGTTATAAAAATGCAACCCTGGGGGACGGTGCATTGCTTGTGAAGACTGAGCTCTTTCTAACGTGCTCTGGACACCGCCTGTTCGTTTTACTTACCCAACGATTATGTCATGGATGCAAGTTTGGCTCGATTAGCTCCATGGTTTGGCTACGAGTGGACTAGTCAACCTTCCAAATGAGTGCACTCGCCAGAAGATGGAATTTCTTTCTGGGATTCAGCGACTATATCAACCATGCTTGGTGAACATTGGCCAGAATCGAAGTGGATTCACTTTTATAACCAACGCTATCCCATAACCAGATGGGGAAGCCAGGTTGACTGTATGAGGTAAGTCAATCAAAGCACGTGTTAGCCATTTCGTAAACTGTGTTGCACATGTGAACTCCTTATAACTGCATTATGTGAAGTAACTTCACTTTTTGCAGCGTTCTTTATATTTATATTACTGCAAATGTGGAATGAGCGGAGAGAGGGATGTAGTAAACTGAATCAAAGCGTCTTGTGTTCTGGGTTTGAAAAATACACCCAGAAAATACAGATATATTACTCAAAAATGAGTACTCCATAGTGAGAGGTACAATATATCATATAAATGCCTATACTTTACTTTGGAATGGCTAAAATAGCATGATACAGATCCTTTAAAGTTTTTTTTTAGGGAATCAATGGATTTCAACCTTTCAAACAAGCTCACATGTCCCGAAAGACCTTTCTTGAGCTGCAATATAATATTCAGGGTCATAAGGGCAAAACTATAAAGTCGTCCACATTACTGGCAACTTTTGCTAAGCACGTTAGAACCAAGACTAATGTCCTCATTCAAAGCGTTCACATGTTCCTCAGCCTAATCAAACACTTAAGATTATAGGTGGTCAATCAACAACATATTTGTAAGTTGTATCACAATGTCATATAAATGACTGAAAAAAGTGATGTCATCACTTGGGTGTCCGATGTTATTTGTAAAATAACCAATTTATTATGTTGAGTGACCAATTTCCACGTTCAAGCTAGAGGGCTTTCCTACGGCCTAGGGTGGCTCATGTGAAAGCTTATAATGAAGATTTTGTAAAAAAAAAAATTTTTTTACAAACGTTACCAGTAACTTGGCCAACTTCAGATTATTTATCTTAATTACAACTCCCACAGAGTATGTGTGAGGGCTCTTTTGAAATCTTTATATCCATAGAAACCCCAAAGCAAAAAAAACAAAGTTTATCATTGAGAATTTACTCTGCTAATTGTATTGAGAATAAATTTAACTCCTTAAATGACAAGTGTTTCCTAACTTTGGACCGATAACAAGCCATGCAATACCTGCCGTCGTGTGTGTCTGCTGAGATGGGCCTGCGTCCTTTTCATTGGCCAAATAAAGTGACTCCTGGACCCTGTTTTAATTAATATGACCACTTGTTAACCCAAATTATTAAATTATTATGAAAATATTTTTTCTAACTTACATGTCGTCGTTCTCCTTCTCCTTCTCTTCTGTCCTGGTAGCACGTGGTGAGGCTGTAAAAGCAAAAGCGAATCATTACAACATTTCTTTATCCATGAAGACAATTAAGTGCGCTTTTGCACACGTGTATCGCATATTATATATAAGATTTTAATAAATTATAGGGTGAAATTAAAACATTTAAGGTATATTTACCTTCACACTCCATGGCGACGACAGTCTGTCTGCACAGCCGGCATGGACGCAATCACTGACGCTTGACCATAGACTGTAAAAACGTCTCCTTGACGTCTCCTGGTCAACCACATGACCAGAAACTGCCTGGGGACACGCCCATTGAAGTGACACGCCCAACACACACCCGATACCGGAACAAGATTATTATTATTTTTTATTTATTGCCAAGTCAATTGACAATGTGTCTTTTAAAAAAAAGGCAATAAACATGGCTGCTGTGTATGAAAATCTAAGCTGCAGGAAAAAATAGAAAAATAATAATAAATTAAAATATTAAACATTTGAATAACGATAACAACAGGGCATCAGCTTATCAATATATAGACATTTTTTTCACATTGTTTTAACTATGTGAAACCTATGTGAAACTATGTGCATCTTTAGTTTATTTGGTATCAATATTTGCTCCGTCTGTTTCATGGATGTATTATAATTATGGTCTGCTCTGAAGATGCCAAAAATCAATTTTGTCATATTAATATTGACTCAAAAAAGATGTCTGTTGCTAATTGTTATACACATTACAAGTACTGGCATATTTATGTTAAACACTGCATGTTTGGGGTAACGCGCTACTTAGTAACTACTTTGTTCGAATCCCGCAGGTGCCCACTGTTGTTGTGTCCTTGGGCAAAACACTTAACCCACCTTGCCTCCAGTGTCTGCGTACACTGGTGTATCAATGAGTGTGAATGGGTGACTGGTTCCTTGCCCCCACACAACCCCCTCCAACCTCCCCCCCACCACCACCCCCCCCCAACACCCCCCCCCTATCCCCCCACCCCACCCCTCCCACCCCACATGATGACCCCACACCCCCAACACCCCCCCACCCACACCCCCCACAACCCCCCCCCCCCCCCCCCCCACCCACCCCCCACCCCACCCCCCCCCCCCCACAACACCCACCCCCACCCCAACCCACACCACCCCCCCCCACCCCACCCTACCACCCCCCCCAAACCCCCACCCCCCCCTCAACACCACCCAAACCCCCCCCCCCCCCCCCCCCCCCCCCAACCCCCACCCCCCCCCACCCCACCCCCCACCCCCACCACCACCCCACCACACCCCACCCCCCCCCCCCAACCCACCACACCCCCACCCCCACCCACCACACCCAACCCCACCCACACACCCCCCCCCCACCCCCCAACCCCCCCCCTCACCCCAACAAACCCACCACTCCCCCCCACACCCCCCACCCACCACCCCCCACACACCCACCCCCACAACCCCCCCCAACACTCCCCTCCCCCCACCCCCACACCCCCCAACCCCCCCCACACCACACAAACCCCCCACCCCCCCCCCACCCCCCCCCACCCACCCCCCCACCCCCCCAACCCCCCCCACCCAACCCCCCACCCCCCCCCACACCCCCACCCCCCCCCCACCCCCCACCCACCCCCCCACACCACCCCACCCCACCCAACACCCCACCCCCCCCCACACCCCACTCCCCCCCCCCCCCAACCCCCCACCCCCACCCCCCACCCCCCCCCACCCCCCCACCCACCCCTCCCACCCACCCACACAACCACCCACCCCCCACCCCCCCCCCACACCCCCCCCCAACCCCACAACCCCCCCCCAACCCACCCCCACCCCACCCAAAACCCCCCCCCCACCCCCCACCCCCCCCCACACCCCACCCAACCACCACACACCACCGCCGTGTCACCACCCGACACCTCCCCCCTCCCCAACCCACCCCCCCACCCCCCTCTCCCCCCCCACCCACCCCCCCCCACCCCCCACGCCCACCCCCAACCCCCACTCCTCACGACCACCCCCCAACGCCTTCCCCACACCACCCCCCCAACCACACCCCCCCCACAAAAACACCTACCCCACCCTCCACAACCCACCCCCACCCCAATATTTATATAATTTTATATTAGAAAGACTGTATCGAGATTTACAGCCATACAGATAGTTCCGTAAATACAGCTACTACTTTTTTATGTGTGGTGTCATCTTTTGTGGTGCTCCCTGTGTGCTCTTACTACTGTCCGCTGTCTATGCGTTGCAACATCAAAATTTCCCACTGTGGGACAGGAAACTCTTATCTGATTTTCTTATCTTCACAGCTGTTTCAGAGTTACTTCAGACTTGCTGCTGTTTCCAGCGCATTCAAAAGTAATAACAGCATGTTATGTTTTAAGGCTGTAAAACCCCTCACGAAACACTTTATACACATGTTTATCCACCTGAACTCAGGTCTGTTGAAGTGCAATCACAAGAAAACAAGCTGTTGGCATACCACTGTAAAATAAAGCTCAGAGGATCACCGCCCTGAGGGTCAGGGGAGAACTGAAGGCTAGGAGAAGCTAATTAGAGCAATCCCTATAATTGATACAGCTTCAATATAATTTTATAATCTATAGTGTCAAAAGCTTATTTGAGTATCTAGAAAATGCAGGTTGTGCAAATAAACTTGGTCCAATCACAACCAGAAGAAAACCTGACAATTCAAGACTTAAAGTCGTTTCATCACTCTTTCTCTATCACACTGCCATCTTTCTGCCTACAGCGCATATCCCTCCGTGCTCTTAAACCTCAAAGCTTTGTGTAGCTACAGTAACTTACAACAAACGTGGAAAGTGAAAGAACAAGGCCATATTCAATTATTCAACAGCTCGAGAAGTGATAGGATCCAACCACAAGACAAGAAGAGCTGACACTGTCTTTTTGCTGCTTAAGTCCACATCCCGCTGATCACGTTCAGAGCGTTTGAGACAGAAAAAAAGCAGCCGCCTCTACTTCAAGGAGAGGCTCAGGCGCTTTTGTTTCCCAAGGCCTCAATGTAAAATGCCATATGGCAAATATGCCTTCATAGCATCCAACAACAGACAAACTCAGACACAATGAGCAGCTTTTTACCAACTGAAAAATATAGCCAGCATCAGAATGATATACAGTAGTTATTCTTATCCTTCATTTGTCTCCAGTAGGTCTATTGTAACGGCCTGCTTTCTGGGCTCTCCAAATTAGCTGTAAAACAGCTACAGTAAATAGAAAACCCTGCATCTCGAGTCCTGACTAGAACCAGGAAGTACCATCACATTAGTCCAGTTCCCAGGTGTCTGCACCGGCTTCCTGTGGCTCAGAGAATAGACTTTAAAGCAGTGTGTTTAACAAAAATGTCATGTAAAACAATCGTATATTCAGTATGTTCGTCCCCTGGACAAGCCTGGTGAACTAAAGTGGCTCTCTTACTAAAATGTTTAGGCACCCCTGTTTTAGATTTTAAATAAAGAAAACAATACTGTATATAGCTGGCTAATGTGCTTACAGTGCAATTTCAGGCAAAAACCTAATTTACTAAATGAATAAAACATGAGACAATGAAATGAGAGCTGCCTAAAAGCTAGAGCTTGTTTTGCCTGTGTGTGTGCACAGCTGGCCTGTGGCTGGTCGCGCGCTCTGGCCTCAGCCTGAGCTCCGGTTTGCTTGAACAGACTTAGGGGGAGATGGAGGCTTGGAGGATCAGCCGTGGATCATCAGGGTTTACACAAGGGAAAGAGGAGGTGTTCCGGAGCCGACTGTGGAATGTGTTTGGACAGACTGCTGTCCAAACATCAGCAGCATCATATCCCAAGGGGGTCTGCAGAGGCCCCCAAGACATTACAATCGAAATTTGTAATTTTACTTAAGTAATATTGTGAGGGAGACCTCTGAAGCAAAGCAGTGCAGGGCCTGGTCAGTACTGTGATGGGAAACCTCTGGGAAGACTGGGTGCCACAGTGGGGCGGCTGGGACTGTAAAGTGCTACCTTGTTGTTATGTCTTTAAGTAAAACACCTCACTTACATTAGAGTGAGTCTGATGTGTGTGTAAATGGTTGGTGGAAAGGCCAATGGCACACAATGACAGCTTTATATAACATTATGTCCACATTGATTCACATGAAGTTGGCTGAATGGTAAATGTTTATTTTCTCAGGAGATACATTAGAGCCATAGACATAATGTTATAGTTTAAAAACAAATGTCAGTCGTATCAACAAAGTTAATGGACCAATGGCTCCTATGTGTTTGTTATTAATGCATTTCCTATGTTCAAATTTCTTGATTCTCAGATTTTTTGTTGAGGGAATTAAACAATTGAATGTGAAGTTAAGTGAATGTGAAACTTTTGACCATGTTATAGTTGTATTCCCTTATTATGCACACACTCACAGCTGGATTCTAGTGTGACTGAGGCATGTTTGAGTCATTGAGTTTGTTTACAAAACATAAAAATACAGTCCGGTCTGACGCGTTATGGTCTTGTCTCTGTGCACCCCATGAGATGGCGCTTAAAGCTCCAGCTCTGTGGACGTTTTCCCTTATTATTGTAACTGTATTTTTAAATCCAACGGTCGACAAATGTAACCACAAATGTAAATCATTGACTTTCCACAACGCTCTCACCATGCCACCACAATTCTGGGGGGGGGGACTCATATCTCGTCAACAAATTATGGACATATCATTCCCATTTTAAAGCCCAAAACAGCCTGAATCCTGTTTTACAAACCAAGTTGTCGTCCCCTGGACAATTTAGGAGGAAATTACCATCCTCCTTGATGGTTTGATACAGGGATGTCTAAATATGCACCAGCATTTGTTACAAAAGGGTTAAAGTTTCTGAACGGGATGGGGGCAGAGGGCGGACAGGAGCGGTGCCGAGGACACATCAGGACAGACACTAAAAGCTCAAAGACACACTGTGCTGCTGAATCTTTGATGACCCTGGGAGCTGCGTTTAAAGGGTCTTGGGTCACATGACTTCTCTCACGGAGGATCTCCTTGCACAACAACACAACAGAGGTGCTAGACGGCTGGCTAGCACTTCACCGCAGAGAGGTCTTGAGTTGGGGCACCAGGCCTAGACTTGCGTTTCCCTCATTAATCCAAATAATGCACAATGTCAGTATTGTAATATATACAGTTGCTAAAAGAGTATTCATACCTCTTTAGCATTAACATAGCTAATTTTCAGAGGCAAAATGACTTGGTTGACTGGTTTACAGTGTGCAAAAAATTAATCAATAGAACATAAACTTGAGCATTATTCTTTCCTCTCTCCTACTTTATTTGTCATCATTCATTCATTTTTTACCCCTTCATTAGTCCATTTCTGAGTCGGGGGGGTTGACAATCAGAGCTGCCACCCAATACTCAGCACCAGTCCCTCGCAGGTTGTGAGTCCACAGGAAGATGGCTGCTAAGTCAGTGGTGCCACAGCCTTGGTCTTGGTCTTTCAGCGGGGGCTTCAGGCAATGTGGGGTTCAGTGTCTTGCCCAAGGACACAACGACAGCAGACAGGGTCAGGGTTGCGTGGTGGTCTTGAACCCATGACCTTCGGGCCCAAAGGCCAATACTCTACCAACTGAGCCACTGTCGCCCCTATCTGTCTTAATATGACTTGTCCATTGTTATTCACCACGCTGTGCCAGTGTCTGTTTCAGGCTGCGGTGATGGAACCCCTGAACCTGGCCTCTTATTTGCACCTGTGAACCGGTCTCCCAGGCCCTTGCTCGAGGGCTGCAACCCCTCCCCACTTGGGAGCCTCCTCAGCCCTGGACCAACAGCCATGTTCTACAGCTTTAGTTCTATAGCTTCAATGTGGGCCTCCCAATTTCACTTTTTGGAACAGTGACCAATATGTTTGGTGTTGTATTTCCTGTGTTCTCTGATCGGTTGTTGAGGAATCGTAAACTTTGTATGTCCTCTGAGATGACTGCTGTTGTGATTTAGGCCGATACACAAATAATTCAGGTGTCCAATAGCAGGAGAATCATCCAGGTCTATGCTGTTTCCAGTAACTCTACTTGGCCCTTCTCCATTTGGCCCTGAAAAAGCGTGTTTCTACCGGCCCTGTTTAGTCATACTTTTTTTAGTCCCTATTGGCCCTGGTTCTATCCAAGCTGAGGTGGTACTACAGTGTTCTAACTGACATTGACTGGACAGAGTGCAGCCGGAAGCCATTTACCACTGTTTCTTTTTAAGTTTGTTGTGGGGAGATTTCTCGTATACGGTACCAGATGTGAGATTTCATAACACTTTTAAGCAACTTTTGTTAAGGTTAAACTCATCATTCTATCAATGTGCAGAAGCCTGTACTTTTCCCTTGTTTTGTCTATCTGAAGGCCAAGCTACATGGCACCATGGAAGCTGCTGATTGGAGGTCTCCATGCCTCCGCTCTGTATAATACACTTGCATTCTATTGTATCTGTGATCGTGTGCTTTGTTCGTGCTGTCTCTACCATCGACAATAAAACATGTCTACTGTCTGAATTTAAGACGCGATCCCAGACTATGTCATCTTCTTCAGGTGGTGGAAGGATGCGGGCCTTGTCTGTAACATCTAGAGAACAGAAGACTTTTTTTTTTACACAAAAAGTGTTTGTTTTTTTAAGCCAAAACTGAGAAACCTCAAGAGAATGCATCTGGATCAGCACACTTGGACAATCTGCACAGCCCCTGATTCCAGTCAGGCTGTGAGCTGCTGAGACATGGACAACACCAGCGTCTTCTTTTGCATGGACACTATTTGGAAAAATTGGATTACACAATTTGGACATGATTTGGAACAATTGGATTTCTGAATTTGGACATAATTTGGACTGAATTGGATTTCTGAATCTGGACACTAAAGCTGAAGCGTGTGATTTGAAAGACACGTCACAGAAGAATTCACTGCTATGGCTCGACACAAATGCAGCCTGAAGAAACAACACGGAGAAGTGGGAGAGACTGTTTTCAAAGCAATATCTGGAACCACCATCGACTGATGAAGTTTGGTATTTTACTGAAGATTGTTGACAAGTTTTATGAAAGATCTGAAAATGTTCTATGAGTTTTTGAAGTATTCCGAGTGAAGTACCGAGTTTGAGTTTTTGAAGTATTGAGTTATGATGTTATGTTGCTGTTTATCGATCCTGATGGTCACACGTGAATGTGTGACCAGAGGGGGGAATGTGAGATTTCATAACACTTTTAAGCAACTTTTGTTAAGGTTAAACTCATCATTCTATCAATGTGCAGAAGCCAGTACTTTTCCCTTGTTTTGTCTATCTGAAGGCCAAGCTACATGGCACCGTGGAAGCTGCTGATTGGAGGTCTCCATGCCTCCGCTCTGTATAATACACTTGCATTCTATTGTATCTGTGATCGTGTGCTTTGTTCGTGCTGTCTCTACCATCGACAATAAAACATGTCTTCTGTCTGAATTTAAGACACGATCCCAGACTATGTCATCTTCTTCACAGATACTAAAGTGTAATGGAAATGTAACCAGTTCAAGTAGAATAGAATAGAGAAGGATAGGGCCAAGACGAGCTAACGGAAAGATGGTCTCGGTCAAGACTTTTTGACTACCACCCAAAAAAACTCCACAGATTGAGTCAAACGAAGGACTGGACACTCTATGGCCTCCTCCTCCACTACGTCTGCTCTTCCTTTCATTGGAACTTTCGGAGTGTGACCCAAACAAAGCCAATATTAGGGGGAAGGGGAGTCGGGACCCCTGCCTCATCACAGTCCCCTCCTCCAACTGTGTGGGGAAATGCAAGAAAAGTCAGTCAGCACGCCTCTTTCATTAGACCCACTGCTAGATCACTGCCTCAAACCAACCCCCATGTTGGCATTTGCGACTACTTTTCTCTTTCTTTAAACCATACAGTAGAATTTCTCATTCAATTATTCTGTTAACAAGTACAAAGAGTGAAAAATATCACCAAAAATATTCATGAAAAATAGGAACCCCAGTGTGTCTTTGATTAAACAAGTGTTCATTATGTAGTAAGAGGGCCACTTTAGTTATCCCAGTTTTGTTCAGGGGCCGATGACTCAGATAGTAAACCTGTTTTGACTGGATTCAGGCTGTTCTGATCTATTACTGAAGATAGCTGTATGGCACATGCTTACTATCTCACATTAGCGCCATATACACAATTTTGTGGCACAATTAAAGACAATTTTCAGTAAAAACCAATTAAGTCCACAACTGGATTTTAGAGCTTTCCAACAAGGTACTGCTGGGTTGGGCTAATAAATAGAATGTTGATGCGGGAAAACGTACACACTGGCGCTTTTTGCGACTTAGTATCACTCTTATTTTGAGTGAAAACTATTTTCAATGCAGCATACGCCTTTTTTGGAAGGATAGTCTATGATGCTCTGGTTCTTGGACCTTGACTTTGCTCGTGGACTGGTTTGTGGCTCTTGGATTGAAAAATTGAACTTCGATCTTGACCGGCTCCTAAAACTCACTAATTTAGCTTTAAGACTGGGCCAAAAGTTATAATCTTTTTATTCATAATCTTTGTTACCTGACAGTTTGGCAGATGAGAGTGTGTAACAACATTGCGCAGAAATGTACAGAAGTTCTCTGCATTATGCCATAGACCTACAGAGTTCTACAAAGTGAATGTTTAATGATTTCTTTGGACATGAGGTGGGATGGGGGTGGGAGGAGTGGACAGATGATCACCACACTGCTGCTGCTGCGGCTGACCTCTGAGACCCCGAAGCCCCCATTACTCCTGGGACGCATACAGGGCGGGGAACCAGGGCCAGGCCGGAGGGGTAAGCTAGTCACACATGGAAAAGATAGTATATTCTTCTGTCAGCTGCAATACTTTCATTACATACAGATTTGTGGTGTGAGTCTATTGTTGGATTATCTAGAGGATAGAATGAAGGAAAACAGGATGTTATGTGGCCAAAAGTCTGAACTGGTTCCAATTTCATCAACTGTTCTTGTTTTTGTAGAAAAGTGAAATTCAGTAAGTTTTCAAGACTTTTAAATTGATGTCTCTGGGTCTACAAGCATTGTTCAACAATTATTGTAAACTACACCAGGTTTTCTAATATCCAAAAAATGTATGCATGCAATATAAATGAATACTAAACTGTAATTTTAACTATTTCGATTTCATGTATCCAACAGACACACACAACACAGCTGTGGAGTGTTTTCAATAATGACAGTACATAGATGGACAATACAGTTAGCATCCTTAGCTCAATGAAGCCAAGGAAAGTGGTCATGGATGAAGTTTTGGTCTAAATCAAATTGGCTATTGACTCATGAAAAGTAAACTTCTCATACCCAGTAATCGTTTGTGTCCCACTCACTATATTGCTGTCCAAATGCCCAAATAAGGAAATTGGCTTATAATTATAAATTATAAATAGGCTTATGTACAAAAGTACAAATCGGGCTGTGCTACATTTTGGCACTATGGTGATGTCACACTCACTCAGTTCACTCCTAATATATGCTCTATGGTTTTCAATCAAGCTCTCGACAAAAGAAGAGACATGACGTGAGACTGCGCCTGAATAGGAAGGCCGCTGGTTAAAAGCTGATGGTTGTGAGTTCAGCCAGACAGGTTGCTCATATGTCACTCGTCATGTTTTGGCTACAGAGGCCGAAGAACCAACAAGTGCAGATGGACAGTGGCTTACTGTCACATATCTACAGATGTCCACCACCACATGCTCTGGGGGAGTCTGAGCCTGGGCCTGGGGGGGTCTGTGCTGAGCAGTGACTGCCGCCCTCCCCCTACACTCAGGGCTTTGTGTCAGGGGTCATAGGTCCGGCCCTTTGTGGGGACACATGTGACCCAGACCTCTACCAAATTTAATTATTGTCCCCTTTGCAGAGTGCATTGGGCCAACAGTGCCACACTGCGTTCACTTAAGAACTAAGTCACATGTTGGCAGGATAGACATATTATGCCGCTTTTCCATAGTCACGGTACGGCACGCACGGCGCACCCGAGTGTGGGTGCTTTTCCATTAAAAATGTTACCTCCAAATTTTTCCTCAGTGTGGGAGGGGTTGTCAGACCACGTAATTTACGCGTAATATTTGTCTGACGTATCACATTTTGTCATTTGAAACGAAATGTTTTTACTTCGAGTACAATACATAACTTAGTTATTTAAAATACATGTATAGTGTTATTCTTAGTATCAACTCAATAAAGGAGCGAGAAGTAAATAACTTTGTAATGATTGTGTTTTGATCAAAAATAAAACCTTTTTGTACATAGCAAATATGTCTCCATCCTCGTTCATAAATTTACCACAGTTATACGGATTTACTGACAAATATAATTTATGTAATGTAAATAGAAGTAAAAGTATATGGTAGGAAATCGTAACTTTTTAACCCCTTTTCTGCATGTGCACAGACAAATGAATGAAACAAAGTCTTGATACGATCACAGATTTATTAAAGACAAAAGTAAAGTGTGAAGAAGATGTGCCAAGTCTGGGATTGCGTCTTTAATTCAGACAGAAGACATGTTTTATTGTCGATGGTAGAGACAGCACGAACAACAGATACAACAGAATGCAAGTGTATTATACAGAGCGGAGGCATGGAGTCCTCCAATCAGCAGCTTCCACGGTGCCATGTAGCTTGGCCTTCAGATAGACAAAACAAGGGAAAAGTACTGGCTTCTGCACATTGATAGAATGATGAGTTTAACCTTAACAAAAGTTGCTTAAAAGTGTTATGAAATCTCACATTCCCCCCTCTGGTCACACATTCCCGTGTGACCATCAGGATCAATAAACAGCAACATAATATCATAACTCAATACTTCAATAACTCAATACCGAGTTTATGATATATAAACTCGGTACTTCACTCGGTACTTCAAAAAACTCAGACTTCAAAAACTCAGAAAACTCATAGAACATGTTCAAATCTTTCATAAAACTTGTCAACAATCTTCAGTAAAATACCAAACTTCATTAGTCGATGGTGGTTCCAGATATTGCTTTGAAAACAGTCTCTCCCACTTCTCCGTGTTGATTCTTTCAGGCTGCATTTGTGTCGAGCCATGAATTCTTCTGTGACGTGTCTTTCAATCACACGTTTCAGCTTTAGTGTCCAGATTCAGCAATTCAATTCAGTCCAAATTATGTCCAAATTCAGAAATCCAGATTGTTCCAAATTGTCCATGCAAAATAGGACGATGGTGTTGTCCATGTCTCAGCAGCTCACAGCCTGAGTAGAATCAGGGGCTGTGCAGATTGTCCATGTGCTGATCCAGATGCATTCTCTTGAGGTTTTTCAGTTTTGGCTTAAAAACAAAAACAAATTTTTGTGTAAAAAAAAAGTCTTCTGTTCTCTAGATGTTACAGACAATGCCCGCATCCTCCACCACCTGAAGAAGATGTGCCAAGTCTGGGATCGCGTCTTTAATTCAGACAGAAGACATGTTTTATTGTCGATGGTAGAGACAGCACGAACAACAGATACAACAGAATGCAAGTGTATTATACAGAGCGGAGGCATGGAGTCCTCCAATCAGCAGCTTCCACGGTGCCATGTAGCTTGGCCTTCAGATAGACAAAACAAGGGAAAAGTACAGGCTTCTGCACATTGATAGAATGATGAGTTTAACCTTAACAAAAGTTGCTTAAAAGTGTTATGAAATCTCACAAGTGCAAAACCAACAATTTACAAAGTCCAAAGTACGTATGGGGAAAGTTAAGTACTCCGGTCACTCATTGCTCGTTTATAATCTCCTCACTTGTGGGAATGGATTCTCAAACAAATAAATATACACACGACAACTTAAGTACAAACACAAAGCAGAATGGCAACACATGAAAGAGCAAAATACAGCACAGTGGAACAGGAAGGACGTTTTAGCTTAGCTTGCTCTCGATAGCTAAATGTAGCTAGCTCACTGTGTGCAACAGACAATCAAACTTTTACACGAGTAAATACATTTAGGTGAGAGCTTTGGGCCAACGGGATACGTAGGTAACCAGTTATTTCCAGGATTACCACAGACTAGTCACAAATCAAGAACTGGGCGACCTTCCTGATAATATTGTTCCGTGTCGTGCCTTCGAGCTGCCTTTGAATTCTTTCTTCGGCCTAAAGAGAGTAACGTGTGGACCACGTCGACCGACCAGGACGCTGACTTTTGGGGCTTTCTGTGCGATTCCATTTCTCTGGAGTGAGGAGGACGTATTATAGCAGAGCAGCCGGTTTTGAAGATGGTGGGGTTGAGTTTTTTTTACCAAAGGGTCGGACATCGCTTCCAGTGACGACCCTCAATGACCAAGAGAGTCGGCTGACGTCACATTTTTGGTATCGCTTTGGCGCGGTTGGAACCACAGTCGAGGTGATACAAGAAAGTACCCTCGATCCCAAGCCCAACCCTCGTGCAAATTCAAAACAGCCGCGTCGTGCCATACCGTACCGTTACTGTGGAAAAGCGGCATTAGACACCACATGTATATGCGGTTGTGTGCCTAATTGAAGGCACACAGTTGTAAAGAATGTTTATTGACAAGAAATCTCAAAGCTAATTTAGGGGACTTTTTTTTAATGCCTCTGTCCTGACGTCAGCCTGCAGATTCATCTTTGTTTGACTTGTTTGAAAACAGAGAAGATGTACAGATGAGGAGGGGGGATGTGTTTTGTGGAGGATTGATGGGGCTCTAACATGATTAAAACAAAATAAAAACAGAATAGGAGAATATGTGGCCTTTAAAGTTAAGCATGTCGTTTACCTAGCTTTAGGTTTTAATCTTGAGGTCATTAAGCAGATAATGTGTTTCTTTGCACTTTGGATTATGTCTCAGGCCACCCACTGTTGGCACGCTCCTCTGGCATGTGGGAGGGGACCTGGGGTGGGTTGTGGGGTGTATGCAGCTGAAGGGGGGGTTTGGGTGGTTATTGTTGCTGAGTGACAAATTAGCACTGCTGCCATGTGCTGAAAACAGTGACACTGCATTTGCTAAGACGCCGACAGCGTACTCAGCAAATTATCCATCCAGGACAGAGCAGACCAGGGCTGTCCACACTGTGCTCATGACAAAACATTTTCACAAAAGAGTTTTGCAGAGGGTGTTCAGAGTTTATTTATGTATTGCTTGGTTGGGACAGTGCACTGTAACACCAGGACTCCCAGAGCCATCATGTTGACTGCCCTCGAGTGAATTCCGGGGAATTCCGCAAACAATATTTCGTTTTCCACCAGATTTATTCAAAGTAAATAATTTGTGTTATTACCTTAGTGATAAAAAACATGATAAATTACTTGCAACTAGTGTTAGTTCTAGTCCAGTCAACTAAAACTTGTGAATATAAATTAAATGCAGCAAAAAGAAGTTTGTTGAAAGGCTAATTGCTAATTCTAATTGCAGTCTAGAAACAGCCGCCTAAAAAAGAGGGTTTAACTGTAATAAAAAGTTGGTTGCCAAGAAATTATCTGTTTTTATATTTAGTTTAAGTTATTAAGACCAAAAAGGTACATACATAATATTTCTAAAACAAAAAGTCATCAAATTGACTGCTTGACTGTATGGTAGATCATGGTAATATTTCCTGGTCTGGAATCTTAAGAACAAAGCCTCAGCCTGAAGACGTCTGCACAATCTTCTTTTTCACACACGTAAGCAAAAGCTTAGAGTGCAAACAGCAGGATTAAGGCGACGGGACTCCGGAGGCAAAGCACTTTGTTGTTCAGTCAACAACAACATGGCCCAATCTGCTCCTGAAGATGCTTATTGTTTC